GGGAAATTGATAATATCCGAAAGATGAACTGATGACTTTGGGTACCTTTTTATAACCCTTGCTCTACGGGTACAATTAACCTATAATACATACCTTTTTGGGATGGGTAGACCTTGACTCCGCTCATGTTCCCCTAACCTAGGCCTTTTGTTGTTTGTATGTGTTTGTGCATTGCATCCACAAAGCATCATATCATTCCCATTTCAAGGAATTCAACAGTCTTTTGCAAATTCAAAAGGTCTTACATTTTAAAGTCTAAAGCGTTTTCCAGCTTTTCCTAAAAATGTTTGCAATCGACTGTTGAAATTCTTGAAACCATGGCATGGCATTAGCATCATATCTTTGCATTGTGTTTTTCCTCCCAGTTTCTCATTCTCGGTTCCCTCGCCTTCAAGTTTCGTCACCCTAAGTACTCTGCATCAGTAAAACACTAAAGCCCAAGCTCGGAAAAAAGATGGCAGAACAAAATCAAGAGATTGATCGTGTTAGCAATAAACTCGAAGATCTTTGAGGAAGTGTGGGGCAGGATATGAGGATGCTACAAGCTCTTAATGCAAAGATGGATACTCAGCCCACTACTGTTTCTGAGGTTACCGATAATATTGTGGGTCCTCTGTCAGTTGTTACTGTTGCAAATGTACCTCCTTATGGTCTTTCACCCGATTTGATGCCTCCTACTATTGCTCAACCAGTTCAACCAGTCAGTCCTCCAAAGTTCAAAACTTTGAGCTTTGACCATCATAAAAGAGCTACACGCTTGAGGAGTCACTCGAGCAGGTATAATCGTAAAATGGTTGCGCACCAACCTTGGCAACATCAACAGAATTATGTTCAAGGTTATCCCAATCAATAAGTTCCTATTTATCAGCCTATGCAAACGACTCCAGTTTATCAGTCTCTGGTGTATCAACCACTTCCTAATTATCAGCCTGCACAAGCTCCTGCTAATTATTAACGAGTGCCCAACGCTCCTGCTTATCAACAATCAAAGAAGCAAGCACCTCGTTAGAATAGGAGACAATACAAGCTTTGTCCTCTGATTCGATGACTTTTACCGAGTTATACCCTTCATTAGTACAACAAGGTCTGGTTATTACAAGAGCTTTGGGTCCACCTCATAATCCTCCACTTGGCAATTACAACGCCGCCGCTCATTATTTATTTCATGAGGGTGCGCCCCGACCATGATTTAGAAAGTTGTTATGCTCTTAAGAACCTTGTTAGAGATTTGCTGGAAAAGAAGATATTGTCTTTTGATGATCCTCAGCCAAAGATCATAACTCCTTTCAGAGTTTTCCATTTGCCAAGATCAAGCTCTGCAAAGCCTGTTTCCAACACATCTAAGCATATTACTCCTACAATGAGTCAGCCGAAGCCGGTAATTGCTCAGAAGCCTAGTCCATTTCATTTTAGTATTCCTTAAGATGATGTGACCATGATCGACAAAGCATCTGGGAAGCTTATTTCGAAGGAAGATTTGAAGACTGATAATGAAGCAGTGACAGATATAGCTGAGGCAAGCAGGACGAATCACAGTGATCGTGTTCATACTCCCCGTTTCAATGAGGCTCCGCCAAAAGAAACCACTACTATTGTGCCGATCTCGAATACAAAGACTTTATAAACACCTTTAGAAGGACTTGTCAAGCAGTTCATTTTGTTTTCTTATGTGTTTTATTTCTTTGGTTGTAAAAGCATAATTAACATGTATGAACTTATTTCTTTTGATTAATTAATGCAATGCATATGTTTGTCTTGAAGAAATCCATTCGTATTCACTCACAAAAAATATTTTTTCATAATTTATAATGTCAACTTTACCCGATCTCTTGCTTTGATAGAGAATTGGGAGGTGGATGATGAACCAAAACGTCATATCCCTTGTCGTATGCTTTCGATTGAAACCTGCTGATGACGTAAGACATTGTTTCAAATCCCAAGCACTGGAGATATAAGGATGATAATTCCTCTTTAACTCATTTGAGCCTTGAAGTAGGAGTTCCTTTTTCCAAATAAAAACCCTTAATCTTAACCTGGGGCAGGGTAGTTTTTCAGCTAAACTAATCGAACACTCAAACTCTCAAAAGAAGCATACAATCGAGAACCCATTTTATCCCTAACATGTTAGGAGGATAGAAGTAAAAAACACAATGACCACCACTTTACAAATTAAGATCCCATCAATGCGAGTCTCGGTGAAAGCTAAGTTGACAAAAGTTGAATGGCATCAAAACATATATGATAAGTCGAATCTAATTGAAGAGGAGAGAATGACAACTTTGTGTCATGGTCATTTGTATCTAAAGAAAATGAAGTTCGATGGCGACTCTTGATTTTCTGAGTTAAGTTAATTAACAACTTAATCTCAACGATTTTTCCCGTCGTGACAGACATCTTCTTTATTCTTTCCATTCTTATGCGTTGGATTTTCCGAGTTGGGATCCTCACGGGAGGGCTTCTATTTCTTGATTGTCCTCATATATCTTTAACATATGACAATAGTCGGCCTCTCTGAATTAGGATTTGGATTTCTTTCTTTAACTTGTGATAATTTTTGTGTGGTGTCCGCGAAGCCTATAATACATACACCACACATTCTTGTTTTTTCCCATCACAACATGTACCCATATTGGATGTCCCGGCATGGGAAGTAATTTGAGGTGATAAACTTCTCTTAAGATATCCTCTCGCCTGACATTTAATGGAGTGTACTCCTGCTCTTTTTCGAAAGGGCATCGGGTTGGTTTAATCGTTGGTCGATCTATGTGTCCCGGCTTAGAGTACTCCTTCTTATGTGTATATCTTTTTTCATTAGCTTGTATTTTTTCTTTGGCATCCCAAAACCTTTTCCATGTTACTTTTCTCTTCTTTGATATAATATGCAACTTGAGTAATAACCTCATCCTTGTTGGATGTCGATTTTTGTGCTAAGGATTCATTGAACTGGATGACTTTGAGGTCATACCGAAACGCTCCAAGAACATTTCCTGATTTGGATGAGATACCTTAACTGGTTCTTTGTTTAATCTTGCCAGATATTGCCTGAGAAATTTTGAGTACCCTGTCTGACGTTAAATAAACTAGTAGTCGACACTTTCCTGTGCTTACTTGCTGAAAAGTGTTGTACCGTTTTCTTGGTTAAATCCATAGAGCTAACATTCGAGAATCTAGGTAGACTCATATACCATCGTAAAAGCTTATTCTTTAAAGGTTTCAACCATGAGTTTACACTTAAGGGAGTCATAAGTCTCTATTATTTCTATTTAGTTATTGATTGCAATGATATGCTCATGCATGTCGATTTTACCATCAAAAGACACCAGGGTAGGTGGTTTGAAGTTCTTTGGGCTTGATCATCCCAAATAGCTTCAGACAAAGGTTGAGAATTCTGAGGTTCCTCTTTGTTGTCCCCTTCCTGTTGGCTTTGTGTTTGCAAAACCTAAACACTGTCTTGCAAGGTTTTCTTTTGTTGTCAGAGAGCCTCCACCAATGCAAGCAAATGAGTTATATCTGGTGGTGAAGGTGGATCACTTTGGCTGGGAGATGAGCCAGACATCGCACAACTGGGTTGTTGACGATTTCAATGAATTTGTGTGGCCTGACCAAGTTTTACCCAGGCCTCGTGGTGTACGCCAAACGCTCTTGCTAAAAAAACACTAAAATGTTGTTTTCCTTGTTATTAGTCAATGAGAGCCTAAAACGATTGATTGAGGTGTTTGTTATGTGGTTGTTTACTAGTTTTTGCTTGCCTTTATACCTTCCAAACCATCTCTTATTTATAGGTTTCCCCTTCTCTTTCGTATCCCTCATAAATGCATCTTCTAGTAACTCAACCGTTCTTATAATTGCCATATAACGCTAGCCTCTTCAATAACTGTAACTCTCATGTCATAATGGATTATCTTGTAATTGTTCCTCGCACATCTTCATATGATATCCTAGTATTATTGTCGGTCTTGGCTTGTACGATTGAGGTCGGCTCCGATTTATATGAGTAAGTCTGGTTTCAAAGTGTTCGTCTTAGTATTTCTAGCCGACCTTTAACTTATTTGAATGATCCTGATAAGCCGATCTGTTTATTTCATCGAGCCCGACTTTCTTACTAACTCGACCTCAAGGAATATTTGATATGTATAGTAGGCTCCTTCCGAACTTATATTTCAATTGATCAAATCAAATTTTCAAAATGTACAACCACCCTTGCACTCGAAGTCTTGCCATTTTTTTGATTTGGGGCCAAATGATCTCATTTTCCTATGAGTGAGACACATCTTATTTTTTCTTCTTTTAATTTTAATGTTAAGTGTTATCATCATGATTCACCAATACGCGTTTATTTATTTTTATATCCCAAATTTATTCAATTTGTTTTTCATATATTGTGATATCACCTAAGAGTTTTTCCATTTAATCAATCATGACTTTTGAAATAAAGTTGTATTAGCCAATGCTTAATGTTTTAATGTGTTGATGCTAAATCACATCCATGGATTCAGAAGGTTAATCTTTGTTATGCCTTAACTTGAATTTTAAGACCTTTTGTAATGTTTTTCGCTGTCACCCACAATCCTACATTCCAAGTAGAACATAGGCAATTTCTAGTATTAAATTGAAAATGTTTCTTCAAAGTTTCACCAATAAAAAAACAAAACATTGAACACAAATTTATTGAAGTCATTTAACTTTTGTATTTACGCACTCATCACATAAATGACTTTCGGATTTAGATTATTCAATATAATTTTAAATGATTATTTATTTTAGAAAAAAAATTTAATTTAAAATTTAAAATCTGCACTGTCTTATATCGATCCAACGGTCAACAACATAATGAATGTGTGATTCTGATATTTCGCTACCGCACATAACCAGCATCCCAAAACCCTAATCCTAAACCCTAACCCTAACTCTGAGCTATAAAACCCTCTCCTTCGCGTTAAACCTTACTGCTCAAAACCCTTCATAGCCGTTCACATCAGTTTTTTTGCATTCTCTTTGAAATGGCTTATCCTCCTCGAGGTAACAGAGGACACCACAAACCGCTTTCTGTTTAGATCGTTCTATGATGTTTTCACGTATCTTAATTTTTCCGAATTTTGAATAAAATAGCACATTTTAATTAATTTATTATATGGATTCAATTGTTTTTTGAATCGTGCAGGTCGCGGTGGTTCCGGTGGTGGTTTCAGAGGTAGGGGCGGTGACAGAGGAGGTAGAAGTTTTGGTGGAGGAAGAGGTACACCTTTTAAGGCTCGAGGTGGTGGTGCTGGTAGAGGTGGAGGAGGTAGAGGAGGTCGTGGAGGAGGCCGCGGTGGCGGGAGAGGCGGGATGAAGGGAGGAAGCAAGGTTGTTGTTGAACCTCATAGACACCAAGGAATTTTCATTGCTAAGGGTAAACAGGACGCTCTTGTTACTAGAAATCTTGTTCCCGGTGAAGCTGTTTACAATGAGAAGAGGGTTTCTGTGCAGGTAGTTTCTTCATTGCGTATCACTTTTATTACTTGATTTTCTTTCGGTGTGATAATTGTGTGTGATTCATTCTGTAGATTGAGGATGGTACCAAGGTTGAGTATAGAATTTGGAACCCTTTCCGATCTAAGTTGGCTGCTGCCGTGCTTGGTGGAATCGACAACATATGGATTGTAAGATGCTTCATTTTTTTGAATCATTTTCATTTACTGGGTATGATTGTTATCGTTGAAATTCAATTCAATACAATACATTGACATTTTTGTTGTTTTGTCAAGACACCTGGTGCTAAAGTGCTTTACTTAGGTGCTGCATCTGGAACAACAGTCTCTCATGTGTCTGATATTGTTGGTCCAGTAAGTGTTGATTCAAATTTGATTGTTTTGGGCATATGTTGTGTCTTTAAGTTTGATTATATAATATTGTGTTATGTTTATGTAGACTGGAGTTGTTTATGCGGTAGAATTTTCCCATCGAAGTGGGCGTGACTTGGTCAATATGGCGAAGAAACGGACTAATGTTATACCGATTATTGAGGATGCTAGACATCCAGCCAAGTATAGAATGTTGGTTGGCATGGTAGATGTGATATTTTCTGATGTTGCTCAGCCTGATCAGGTTTGGATTAAGTTTTCACTTTTTTATGGTAAAAATAGTAGCTATGCCTGATTTAACTCAAGGATGGTACCACTCGCTTTTGTTTTAAAAGCAGGAATATGCTACTAATTCATAACATCAATGTCAATTATGTCACTGATGTTCTATTTACTAATTTGAAGTATCTCTAAATGAGGTGCATGTGTAATGTTGTAATTTGCTTCAGTGCTGTGTAGTGCTTGTTCTTTACTTGTTTACACTGTTTGTTAAATCTTTCTCTCTAACTTTGTATTTTGAATCAGTTGTTTTTATATGAATATTCATTTTAAAGTAAATATGTTTTTGGTGAATATATTAGTGTATGTGATGAGTTACTCGGATTCCCCTTCAAGACTTCTTGGATGATGTAGACCCGAGATTCTGATGCACATTGATCTTGTTATTTTATTTTAATTATCTAGTTGTGTTTTAAATCCTATTTTGTTTATTAATTGTAATCTCAAAGTTAATGTTTTATTCTATATCATTGCATATGATGAGTTACTCGGATTCCCCTTCAAGACTTCTTGGATGATGTAGACCCGAGATTCTGATGCGCATCAATTTCTTTTTTTAAATCTATATTTTTTTATTATGTTAAACAGTGCAAATGAGTTACTCGGATTCCCCTTCAAGACTTCTTGGATGATGTAGACCCGAGACTCTGATGCACTTTAAAACTGGATTGTTACCTATATTGTTTCATGTTGTTAAACAGAGCTGGTGCAATAATGACCTGTTTAAATAGTTGTCTTAGATTCAGTTTTTGCTGTATAACCTTAGACCCAGTTTATTTTATGAACATATTTCTTCATTCATAAAATTTGTAATGAAGCTTATTAACATTTGAAATGAACTTATTGAATATACTGTTAGCTATACAGTGATGAGATGAAATTTGTGTTCCAAGTATCCGCTTTGATTATACTAATTTGGGATTATTTCAGGCAAGAATTTTAGCTTTGAATGCTTCGTACTACCTCAAAGCTGGAGGTCATTTTGTTATTTCTATCAAGGTTTGTTGCTTTGTTTTTAGTTGGTTTGTTTGTCAATTTTCAAAAACATGAAACAAAGTGAATATGAGGTAATGTCTGATTTGATTATCAATCTCATTCAATTTTTTATGGCAGGCCAATTGTATCGATTCCACAGTCCCTGCTGAGGCAGTGTTCATCAGTGAAGTGAACAAGTTGAAAGCAGATCAATTCAAACCATTTGAGCAAGTAACTCTTGAACCATATGAGAGGGACCATGCTTGTGTTGTTGGTGGTTACAGAATGCCTAAGAAGAAGAAAGATGCTTAGTAACCTAACGTCATTTTGTTGTGAAAAATGTACTAATGTATCACTTTAAGCAACTCGAGATGTCTTTGATTACTGAATTTTTTCACTGTTTTCGGTTTTGATTTATACAGTGTACTCTAATGTGTTGCTTCTGAACTAAAAAACTATGGTTTATTACATTACTCACAAGTATTACAAATTGATTTTTCTTTTTATGTTGGTAAATGCCCATTTGCCATAACTGGTTTTGGTATTTTTAAAAAAGTAGTCACATTTTATGTGCTAAAAAAATTTAATATTTTTGAATTAATTAAAGAGTTTTGTTAAATTAAATTTAAATTAATTGAAGGATAGTTAAAAAGAAGGATTAATAAGACATGACATGTAAATGTTGTAACTTTTAATTATTTTCGATTATAAATTAATACACGCTGTGGTTAAAATCTAAAGCTACCTAAATTCCAAATATGTGATGTGATACAAAAAGTTAAAAATAAGGGTATCGCATTGACAAACAGTTCAACAAGTTCCAAATGAAAATTTACAAATTCTTTGCTTAAGTAATTAGTTAAAAGACCAAAATTTAAGTATTTAAAAAAGTATGCCATCACGACGATATAATACAAAAATAAAACTATTGAAAATCCACAAAAAATAATAGAACATAGATACAAGGAGATAAGAATACATTTTATAAATTAACGTTGTATAAATTAACGTTAATACTAATAGAATATGCTTGATATAACCTATAATATAATAGAACATGCATTATAATGTTATAAATATAATACATATGTTATATTAACGTTAATTCCTATTTCTTATAATGTTATATTATATTTATAATCTTTTCTATTAGTATTATATTTATATTAACTAAATATCTATTTTATTTTGATTAAGACTAACAATAATATAATGAATCACAAAACACATTAAAAATTCAAATAAAAAACTAATATAATTTTCAGGGTGTTACAACTCTCATTTATAAAATGTTCGTTCTTGAAAATTTATGAAAAAAACAACTCTGAATAAGACTTATTCATCTAACTCTCTAACTCTCAAGTCACGTTGCCATCTACGGATCTTCCCTACACAACTTTCACCAAAGGAATTTCTTTATCCCAAGTGTTTTACCTCTCGATCCTCAATCCGCAAGAGTGATGTCTCACAAGTCAGATTATCTCTTATTTGCACGTCATCCGACTGAATCACATGAGACAAATCTAGAATATATTTACGAAGTTGAGAGGTATAAAAGACATTATGAAGGTTTGAGAGAAATGGTGGTAATGCAACTTGATATACAACTTTGCCGACTCTTTTAAGAATTCAATACGAACTAATAAAATGAGGAGTAAGCTTTCGAGATTTCAATGCCCGACCAACTCCTCCAATCACTGGAGTGACTCTCAAGAATACAGGGTCTCCTTCATGAGATTCAAGGGCCTTTCTGCGCTTATTACGATAACTCTTCTATCTACTTTGCGGTGCCTTCGTCTTTTTCTGAATTATCTTAATCTTCTCGGTAGCCTGTTGGATTTTTTCAGGTCCGAGCAAAACTCCTTCACCAGATTCAAACCAACAAATGGGTGTTTTACACCTTCTTTCTTAAAAGGTGCAATTCCGACACTAGAATGAAAATTGTTGTTAAAGTAAACTCAGTTAGCGGTAAATAACTATCCCAAGCACATCCATACACTTGGATACAAGTCCTTAACAAATCTTCTAAGGGTCAGATAGTTCTTTTCATCTGACCGCTTGTCTGCGGATGGTAAGCAGAACTCAACTTTAGCTTGGTTCCCATGGATACTTGCAAACTTTCCCAAAACATCCTTTTAAGATCTTTATACATCTTCGTGGATCATGGATGAATATTAAAACAACTCATGTAACATTCTTTTAAAATTCTCTTCTTAAGATCGGCCAAATCCGACACACACAATCTATCTAAAAACTTGATGATCCGATTCTCTCTTACCTTGAAATCCACTAATTTCCCTTGGCTAATAAGTGCTAATTGATCCATCAATCTCAAATCCAACATCTGACCCTCTCTCATTTATGTAAGTACATCGCCAGTCAACTTCAACATGTCTAGCTTCACACTTCATGGTGTGACCTCACACACTAAGCTTATATCTCTGAATTGCTCCATCAATTCCATTTCTTTAACCATTAGTTCCGACATGTGCAAATACTCCCTACTCAACGCATCTACTACTACATTAGCTTTTCTTGGATGATAATTCTACTCTAAGTCATAATACTTAAAGGGAGATGGATACTTCTGTCAGGTGCTTCTAGCTTTTGGTTCAATATCCTTTATGTTAGGTATGGTCATTCCCTCGTCACCTCTTTAAGAAGGGGTTGATCATTAGGGTCTCGTTCTGCCTCCTCTTGGTGGAAATAATCATCTCTTATTAGTTCTAAAAAGGATGATCCTCCTAATTAGTTTGAAGTTGGTTTTCTCAAGAAGGTTGGTACAATTTTTTAGACATCTTTTTGGGAAGACCTTTTGTCATACCCTAAATTTGTCATACCTTTTCAACTTGTGGATACCAAGTCTTAATGTGCATTCATGATCTTGCTATAGGTGGTCATTTTACCTTTGGCCATGATCCTTTAAGGTTTTAAGTATGGAGGATTTATTTGTACGCATTATGATTTCAGGCCCATGCAAATGTGTTGAATCATAGTGGAAATAAGAGAAGATATATCGCATGGCAAATTCGTCCAAATATGATCAAGTGACTTCAAGGTTTATCTCAAGAAGTTTTGGTCGTATTCAAGACAGGTTCCAAGTGGCTCATGCATATATACAAACCATAGATGAAAAGTTGTTGCTACGATGGTTATTAGTGATTTCGAGTTATGATCGTTAATTTCTAGAGCATAACCAATTTATGGCCCAAACCTATGTTTAAATCAAGTCATGTTGAAATTAAAGCTATAATTCAAGATCAGGTCGAAGTTGTGATGGGAAGTCTTGATTGAGATGTTTCGAATATTGTTTATTGGACTAAGCTATTTCAAATTACATTCAAGAAGAATCAAGTCCGATTAAACAAAAAAGGGGGTACAAATACATTTTAGGCCCAATCCAATTTTCGTTATAATATAGTTCATTACAAGAAAAATTGGGTACATATGTTTGTAAAATAAATGTAGTATCATAGTGTACAACCCATAAGTTTCTTTTTTACAAGAAAAAAGGGAAACTAAAGTGCTAAATGCACATGACGTGTAACTCTCACACGGTATCCAAATGATCCAAGTTGCCATCACCTAAGCCAACAACTTCTCATGTATAAGGACACCATTTCTTTCACTATAAGGATACAATTTCCTTCAACCAACCAAAACCTTCATTTTCCTTCATAAAAATTCAACCCAACTCAAAAGAAACCCCTCACGACCCACTTTCAGTACTCAACCGCAAATCCTCTTCAACCCATTACCACACCCTTCAACCAAATAAAAACCCAAACTTCAAATAGAACCTCTAAATCAAAACAGAAACAGATTAGAAGGAGATGAAGAGAAAATTTAAACAGAAATCCGTTTAACCTTTGCTCTTCACAATATTAATACACAAACATTTTTCATGAACCAGAACCTTTCTCACCTTCTTTAACCTACAGAGTCTCAAGCCCTAATATTCTTCAATCCATTTCAAACCCATTTAAAAAAAAAAACAGAAATAAAAGGAGATCTGAGATGAGACAAAGAGAAAGAACAACCAAAACCAAACTTGAAAGAACTTGAGACAAAATCGAATCGAAAGCAAAGAAGGTGAATGAATTGATTTTATGAAGGTTGAAGCGAGATCGGTGCTTGCTGTTTTTATTTTGTTCATGTTTCAAATGATAACTTTCATTTTGAAAATTGATGATAACCTGTTCTTTTCGGTGCTACGACGCGATGAGAGAGGAGAAAGTTGCGTTTCTCTTTCGTAACATGTTGCTCATCGTGTGACCGGAAATTTTACCCCATACCCCTACATAAAAATTTTTGGACCAAAATACCCTCGTATAAAAATTTATAATTTTTTTCATTTGTTCACCGGAAGACTTTTACGGTTCATATTTTTTCTTTTGTTCACCAGAAGACTTTTTAGAAGTCTTCAGGTTCACATTTTTTTTCGTTTGTTCACCGGAAGACTTTTTGCAAGTCTTCTGTTTCATATTTTTTTCATTTGTTTACCGGAAGACTTTTTTGGAAGTCTTCCGGTTCATGTTTTTTTTTTTTAATTTTTAAATTTTAAAATAAATTATTGACATTATGTGTCATTTTTCTCTCTCCCATTCATCTTTTATTTTATATTAAAAATTCATTATTAAACATCAATTTATTTTTTTCTTTCTCAATAAATTCATATTTTTGCCTTAAATATATAGTTTTCATATACTAATAATTTAAACTAGAATAAAAGTATTATTAATAAAATAGTTGAGGCAAGTGAGTAAAAAACAAATAGATCATAACTTTTTTTCATTATTTGTTTGTTGGGACTATATTATTATCATTATTAATAGTTATTTTTATGTAATAAAATAAGAATGAATCTGAACTACTAAATTTTAAAATAAATTATTGACATTATGTGTTTGTTTTTTCCTCCATCATTTATTTAATATTAAAAAAATTATTATTGGACATCAATTCATTTTTTGCTTGTTCAATGAATTCAGGTTTTTTTCTTAAATATATAGTTTTCAAATACTTATAATTTAAAGAATGATTAATATATGTTTCGGTCAATGTTTGAATCCAGAAACTTAAAATAATTCTTTGATATTGGATTAAATAAAATTAAATGACTATGAACTATAATTGTATATTATATATTCTACTTTTAATTTGAATTCATGAATAGAATTAAAAAACCAACGTTAAGATGATTAAAAATATTATAATATTTGACAATATTATACAAATGTTAATTTTAATTTTTAATAAATTATATGATAGGATAGTAAATAAAAAAAATTACAATTGACAATATTAAAAAT